ACATTGTGTTCTGAATTATGTTCCTGGAATTAGATGACAGGGAAAATAATCCTATTTGCTTGATCATTAATTCTTTTTTAATTTTATGTATTTGGTACAGAACCTCGCTACACAGCTTGGGTTCATGATCCCCCCTCCAGTCTCAGCCTCCCCAGTGCTGGGACTGGCCCTTGTGATCTTGATAGCCAGCTGGCTTGGGGCGGGGCCAGCACAGCATGGGGTACTGGGGAACAACCCCTGTCCTTGCACTTGCCTACACAGGTACTTAGACTGCTAAGCTATCTCTGCATCCCATTTTAATTTTTTTTTTTTTTTTTTTGCGGAACCAGGGATTGAACTCAAGCCCTTTCGCTTGCCAGGCAAGCGCTTATTCTACTGAGCTATCTCCTTGGGCTCGCCCATTCTAATTTTTTTATAAAAACATTTTTGGTTTTATTTTGTGATAAGCCCTTCACAGTTAAAAGCTCCTAAAAGCTGAAACTGGCATCTGGAAAGGCCAGTAGGCCTAGCAATCACTTGGTATGAGCTAAGAATTTTGAGACATCAGGTAGGGCTGAGGCTGTGTATCCAAGTCATCCAAGTCTATTCTGCAGGACCCTGAAGGGGACTGCAGTACGTGCTTTAGTGCAGGACAGCCTCTTACGAGGATGTTTCAGGCCCCAGGAACCACAGTAGCACAAATAGGAGACTCTTCTGACATCAGAGAAACCACAAGTAAATATGAGTTATTAGCAAATACAAACAAGAGGTCTGCTGCTAAACAAATGTCTTTGTAATATTTATTCAAGCAGTCATAAATTCCAATATGTGATCATAAAACACTGGTGAGAGACATAAAAATTAAAGCCTAGCAAGAGCATGAGCAAACACATGTGAATCATTTCCTTTTTTAAAAAAAGTAGGGAAGGTACAAGAAAATAAGCCATACCTTATCTAGGTACATCACAGTTGAAAAAATATGTTGGTTAAAAATACTGAAATTCCCAATAAACTTCTTCAATAGGCAACCTCTCAAGTAATAGACAAGATTTTACCTACACAGCTGAACAATGTTCTCATTAACATTTAAAATAAAACCCTCTATAATAACTTTGGCTTCTCTTCTACATACTTGTAAAAAATTGTGTTCCCAGATATGAAAAAATAAGCCCACCAGAAAAAAATAACAAAAATAAATTCTTAGCAATAAGTGAAAGGATTTCACTCCTGGGAAACAGAAATTAAGTTTTTGTTCACCCCCAATCTAATTTTTTCAAGTTATATGCACTTTGTAAAGAAGCTAACCTATAGCCTGTTCTTCAAGTAAGTACCAGATATACTGGAACATTAATCATTTTATTACCTTATGACCTAAGCGCAGTACTCTGTGGAAGTTTCATATTTGCAATCAGGATGGCTCTATAGGGGTAATGGTCAGAATTAATAATAAATGATAAGAAGACAATATAGAAGAGATCTATGTAAACAACCTAAAAAAAGTCAAAGAATCTCTGACTTCATTTTCACTTTTTAAAATGGTCCAATAGTAACCTTATATTTCTTAAATGCCATCTAGCATGTAGTGCAATTCATTTTGCTCATATTGGTTTATGAAGGACACCAGGCACACGGTAGCTGCACTTCATAGATGAGGCAAGGGGAAAAACAGCAGTTACTGCTTCTCCTAGGGCAGCCTACAGCTCACAGACCTGAGCAGATTTTTAAATGGCCCATGAGTTAGGAACATTTCTTGTGTGTTTCATTTATAGGTGAGCGGTGATCATTTGTTTACACATTTCATGTGACCTATGTTGCATTCTATGCCCCAAAGTAGAGCTGACTATTTGAGACAGAGACCAAATAATCTGCAAAGCCATAAAATATTCACTCTCTGGCCCTTTATAGGAAACTTTGATGACTCCTTTAAGGAACTATGAGCAGATTTTTTGAAAGCCATGCCAGTACCTTTCCCACCTTAATTTTCTGCTTCTCTATAAGCCATTCCAGTATGTAGTTCACTCCAGGCATCTGTTTGAAGGAAAATAGAAAGTTTATGGAGTACAAACTTTGATACCTAAAGTAAAAAGGAAGACACCAATGAGAATGGATCCAGATGTGGCAGATGGAGAACACATGCAAGAGACAGGTGACTTGTTTCCTGCTTTTATGGGTTGTGGACAGAGGAGAATCCTGTCCAGTGTGGACCATAGCCACACCTGACTTAGTCAACTGGAATTGAGACTTTTTGAATTGATATTTAGAATAGATTTGGTACACTAGCATGGCCTAAGGCTCTCGGGAACATTAAGATGGAGTAAATGTGTTTGGATATGAATTTTAGGAAGCCAGAGGGCAGGCAGACTGGGCTAAATGATGTTGGCCCCACAATTCATGCTAATCTAGAACTTTACAAGGTAATTTTATTTGGGAACAGGATTTTTATACATGTAATCAAGGTAAGATTAGGTCATAGTGGGTGAATGTAGACTCCAGTCCAATGACTGATGTCCCTACTAAAGAGGGAAATTTGAAAAAAAAAAAAAATACAAAGAGGACAAAGCCACATAAACAAGACATGGGGGAAAATGTTATGAGAAGACAGGAGCAGAGACTGGGGTGACACATATGCAAGCCAACACCATTTCTATGAAGTACTGGAATCAGAGAGGCAGGGAACAGATTCTTTCTCAGAGCCTTTGGATTTTGGAGTTTTGGTATCTGTTGTGGTACGAACATAAGTTGTGTTTTTTAAGTGATCAAGTCTGAGATACTCTGCAATAGTCCTCCTAAAAATCTAATGCAGATTTGTGGACAACTGAATATGGTTTACATAAAAGATTAGGATCACAAGAAAAAGAGAAAATGCTGGAATGCCAACACACCATATTTTTGTCTAAAATATAAACTCAGAGCACTTCTAGAAGGCTGCAAAGAAAAACAAAGCAAAAACAGAAACCCAGATACCTTGATTACTAAACCTGGTTAGGTTTTACAAACACACATTCCAGAAGGAGTACAAATCGGGAGCTTTTCCTTCCCTGCAGTGCTGCTTTGGAAGCCAGCCCTGGTTCCCCCCAGTCACTTCATGGGACTGTAACAGAATACACCTAACAGGAGCAAACAGATGAGCTGAACTCGCCAGGAGGATGGATGTACCTGCAAAGCTTCTTTTCTGAAATAATCTTTTTATTTTATTTTATTTTTTTAGGGAAGGGTCTACAGGATGTTCAGGGTCTCACTACTAGATCGGATTCAAAGTGATCCTCCTGTTTACAGCCTCCCAAGAGCTGGGATTACAGGCACATGCCACCATGCCCAGTACCAACTGCTGTCTCAGGGTGTCCCAGAAGTGGGGCCAGCACAGCAGGCCAGGGGATTGGACCACCAGCCCATCCGCCTGCTTGCAGGTGCTTTAATCCGCTGAGCTATTTGGCTGGCCCTTTGAAATAATCTTAAATATGTGCAGAAAGCTTAAGTTTTAGAATATGTTGCATAGGGCAATTGTGTGCTTTTAAAAAGATATTTCAGGGCCAGCCAAATAGCTCAGGGAATTAAAGCATCTGCTTAGGCAGACAGGGTTTGATCACTGGCGTGCCATGCCTGCCCCACCCCTGGGGCACACGGAGACAGCTATTGAGACTGGGCATGGTGGTGCACATCTGTAATCCCAGCACTGGGGAGGCTTAACACAGGTGGATCACTATGAGTCCAATCTACGTAGTGAGACCCTGTAGACCCTTACTAAAAAATTAAAAAAAAAAAAAAAGATATTGCATGTATTCAAAAGCAATTGGTAAGAGAGTCACCTAGTTCCTTCCAGAATCTCCCAGTGGCTCAGACACCTTGCACATTATGTGTCACCAGACACACAATGTGCTACTTCACCCCTCTCGCTCTTACTCTGTTGAAAGTTGAAACAGGACAAGATGCATGCCTTTACAGGACTCAGACTGCAAGCATGTGATGCCAAAGACAAGCAGTTGCAAACAACGTAAAAGTGTTTCTAAAGTACTTCACACATTGTGTTTTCCAATAAGCCCATCAACAAAGAATAAAAATTAAAATAGTTGATTGCTCCGAAACCCTTTGTCTAAATGCACATGCACCCAGGGGCCACAAATTCATGATTTTAATTGTCCACACTAAACTCTGTGCAACTCTGGCAGTAAGCAGCTAAATTCTTGTTAAATGTGTCCATGAGAGGCACAGATTTTTCTTATCATCACGTCATATCATACCTTGGCATCCATTATTTTAAATAAACTCATATTGTTAATTTAGATTCCCCATGCGCTCAGATGCAGATTATTTTCCTGGGGATTTTCACACCAGCACAACCATGTGAAATTTTATTTGACTTTTCCTCCCACTTCCCCCTTTCATTATTTTCCTCTGGCCTTAAATAGATTCGTATTTGTAATAACCAGTGGCGACAGGAAAGAAAATGCCAGTGTGACACCATCCCTTGATGGGAGCACTTTGCTAGCTGGCACTCCAGCATTGTTCCCATAAACTATAGCTTAGTTCCCAAGAAAGGCCAGCTCCCAACACAAACAAACAAACCTCACTGACTCCTCCTAGCAGTCTGCAGCACGTTAGTGAAAATATTTCCCGAGACTGGGAATTCTTAGAAAGGTGGCTACTGCAAGCCATCATCTCCAGCTCTCCACTGAAGACATAAACTGTGTTTGTAGCCTAAAAGAGAAAAATGTGTATATCTTCCTCTTCCATTGCCTGAAACCAGCAACCTAAGTAACTGCCCAAGGATTTCGATCCCCGCACATTGTGTGGCATCTCACTATCACTCTCATTTCCTACAGAAATCTTATTCCTGCAGAAACCAGATTACAGGGTTAACCAAACCATCACTCTCCTCAGGTACCTCCAGTTCAGAGCTGGAGCTCTAGCACCTACTGCAGTATCTGACGAAACCACCCAGAACCTATTATTGTTCTAAAACATTCACCAGCCAGGCTAGGAAGGCATGTGTTCACACAGGCCCCAGGCCCCACTTGCTTTACCTTATTCTGTTCACACATGTACTGAATCTTCAGCGCGTCCATTGCTCTGATCATGGCTTGCATGGCAGTGAATATGTTTTGGTAAACCAGCTTCGTGAACCCCTTGCGGTCTTCATCACTGTATCCAGACCCATGGATAATTCTCATTTGCTTGATGAAGGTGCTCTTGCCACTCTCACCAGTTCCTATAAAATGAAAAACCCATCAGCCGACTTCAACACACACATTTTAGAAAGGAAGGACTCCCCAGCAGAATCAGCCCATACCACAGTGAGCACACTGACGGGCCAGTCAGGCAAAGTTCTCCCAAATGCTCCGGGGAGATGAGGTTACATGTTGCTATCCTCAATGCAGTTGCTTAGTTTTAGGTACCAGCACATATAGTTAGTCAGGGTGAGAATCCTACCAATGAGGATGAGGTTAAAGTACAGTGGCATCCTGAGCCCCAGGGGAATGCCTGCCTGTGTCCCTTGCCCTGAGTTCTTGAAGCAACAGGGGACTGATGCTGAGTGTCCTGACCTGTTGAGGACTCTGCTACTGACAGTGGGAGGGGCAGTGGCTGCTTCACTGTACAGGGAAGATTTGAATAGGAGAAACGCTTGGAAAAGAGAAAAGGCCAATTATCTTGTCACTTTCAGTGTCTCGGATACAAGGATATACTTGATTCTTGCACAGTGGAGCACTGTGTATGTGATCACTTCTCTTCATGTTCAAATTTGTGAGTCAGGAGCACCTCAACATTCCCAACACTGCCCATGGCAGCCAAAGGGCTGGGCACAGCGGGAAGCCGTCCCCACTGCTCCAGAATGTGTACAGGTATCGAGACATAATATAATATGCAAAACATGCTGCCAAGACCCCACCTTTACATCAGATTGAGAGATTGCTTAAGATCCAAAAGTTGCAATGTACAGTAAGTAGAAAGATTTATGTAACCCAGTCGAACTATTTTCTAATGTTTTCCTTGATAAATATAATTAATCATGAGGTTGCATTACCATAGCTTGAGAATATGTTATATTAATGACTCTTTTCCAAGTCTAGGTATTGCTTCAAGACTTTATTAAGAGTTTAGGTCAGTATAGTCTCAACAAGCCATGTTCTCATTGGAGATATTTTCAACAGAGATGTTTTTAAGGTTCATCCATGTTATAGTATGTCAAAAATCCTTTCCTGTCTAAGGTTTAATAATACACTAATATTTTAAAGTACAAGATTGGGCATGGTGGTGCACGCCTGTAACCCCAGCACTTGGCAGGCTGTAAATAGAAGAATCACTATGAGTCCGAACTAGTAGTGAGATGCTGAACACCCTATAGATCCTTCCCTAAAATACAAAAATAAATAAACAAGATAAAATAAAATACAAAGCAGTAATAAATAATTCATTGTTTCAATTTTCAATTTTACCCCCTCCACATATAAAAATAAGTTATATCAATCCTCTTCCAACCACCTTGCGCTCAATGTGGGTCAAAATGAACCCAATTGCAGTAGAAACCACCCCAAATGTGGCCTAGAGAGAAACTTGTACTGATTCATTGTGAATTCTCCAGGGTTATTAGCCTGCTCCTGACAATGGCAAATATTAAAGTACTCCCTGTTTGCGCACCAGGCATTGTATCCAAATCCATTCTTTTATATTCATTCTGTCTCTGTCTGTCTGTCTGTCTGTCTGTCTGTCTGTCTGTCTGTCTGTCTCTGTCTCTGGTTTGAAATCAGGAGCACTATATCATTGAGATATATCCTCAGGCTTTTCTTCAAGTTTAGTTTTTAGTTCTTATTTTGAGACAGGGTCCTGATAAAATGCTCAAGGTAGCTTCAACCTGCACTCCTCCTGCCTTAGCCTCTTGAGTCACTGGAATTACAGCATACACTGCTCGCCCAGCACAGACGGTGTCCTTTAAGCCTCCACACCAGCTGATATAAGTCCTATCATCCTCACTTTATAGATGAGGACCTTGGAATTGAGATTGCTCACATAATCTCTACAAATCCACAGAGATAGTCAAGGAAACATTTGCGATTTACTGCATTAGACTCCAAGCATAGGCTGTATTGTCAGAGAATGTCCAGGTAATAACTTGAAAGGATTTTGCCGCATAGGTCTAATAGGAACAAATCTGAACTTCACAGCCACACACTGGATACTGAGATCCACTCTCCATCCTGCAGGTTCACACTGGTGGGGCATGAAGGAAACCTCCCAAACAGGTTCACTGTTGCCCCACTTGAACATCTAGAGATAAGAAAGGTGTTGCTGTCTTCCCTGCTCAGTGATGAGGACACTGGCCATGAGTCAGAGAAAGCCCAGCTTGGGTACACACTCTTAACTGGGGTAAGAAGCCAGGCCACAGTGCCCCAGCTTTCAGGGCTATCCCCAGTGCCACAAACCCTGCAGAGAATTTGCTTCCTGCAGGTAGGCTTGCCACCCCTCTCCAAGTGTGCACCATCAAAGTGCTCTAGGTACCTGGGCTGGGACTCCACAAGGTTGGGTATCCACATCACCTACACACTTGTCGACAGATCTCTCATTGTGCCTTGAATCCAACAAATATAATACCTAAAGGTCACTTGCTTTGGGTACCACAAGAACAAGGTGCTTGTTACATTGTTATCAACCAAAGAATTAAGTTGAGCTGAAACTTTCTTACCAGTTGGAAATTGTACTCTATGTTTCCTGTTTAGGGATGCTCACTCAGGATAGTAACACACTGCAAGTTTTGTGGCTGAGTAGACCGCACCAGGGGCCGAGGTATACAGCAGTAGATCTTCTAGACTGTGCACTCTATAATGAATGCCCAATGACAAAACTGCCTAACAACACATTTCTCAAAACAAGTGTCTGTCATTAAGTGACACATGGCTATGCTTGTAAACTCCTATCACCCAGAGCCCACTGCTACTTGTCATCATCCTACTGCAACGGTCTTCAGTAATACAATCAGTGGGTGACTTTTGGGCAAGGCGCTTGGCTAGTAATACATTTACCAGGGTCGCTCGAGTTCTTTTCTCTGCCTGCATACTCTCTGACCTCGCATGAGAAGATGAAGCTCCTTCCCATCCAAGCCTCCCACTTTGCCCTAAGTTTCTTGCTGGGAAGAGTTGTTCCTAGATCATTGGCCTCTTGAGTCCCCTCCAATATAACTTATTTCCTTTTAATGGGTAGGCACTCAATTACTGCTTATGTGGAACGCACAGAGCTTGCTGCTCTGCCATGTTTGGCATACATGATCTGTGCTCTATTTTAAATGAAAGCTCCTGGCCTCCTGTGGGCACCAATGTGTGCCTCTGGCCCTATAGGGAGCTTTTCTATAAGACATTTGTGCTGGGCTTTCTCCTTCAATTGTCTTTCTCAAACCTCGATCCTGCATATACCAACATTGAGATTTTTGTTATCCTTATACCACATGTATGAGTTAATATTTGGCTTTATTTTTATTTAGACAAGTTTTTATTATTGAGCTTTATATTTTATTTTTATAAGTTTGCTATGGAAGGAAACACGACTCTCATAATTGACAAAGTAGCAACACCCTCTTGTTTAATCAAATTGAGTATAGTAAATAAAACTTTGGTATTCTGATTATAAATCTTACCAACCTCCAGTTATCTGGGCACCACATTTCAGAAAACAAGCACAAATAACTGTTCTCCTTATGTGAAACTGGCCTTTTCCCTTTTTTTATCCTTACAGAACATTCTCCCATCCTCCAGAGGCTTCTGAAATTCCACCCATGAATGTCAATCCAGATACAAAATAACCAAGGGCTAAAATGCTCATAACTGGAAAAGAACCAATGAAATGTCTTCATGTTAAAATTCTAAACCCTCTGGGATTTGAGAGAGCAATATGAGGCTAAAGTTTCAACTCAATTTTAAGTGCACAGAAAGGATCAGAGGGGAAACAAAAAGTTGCTTTGAGGAGCCAGGGAGAAACAGACCACAGCAAAAACAACTGCTCTCCCAGTGATAGCCCAAGGATACCAGAGCACAAACTAGCTGTTCTAGAATTTCCCTAAAACTCAGAAAGGCAGCCTCCTTGAAAGCCAACGCGAGGTGCTGATAAGGTTTCTGAGGTGGACAGGGCTGTCTGGCTGCCAGTGATGCTTCCTGACCCACAGCGAGAAGCCGCCTTCAGCTCAGTGTTACCAGAGACCATGTGAGCTGAGTGAAATACGACTCACAGCAAAAATGAGGATACAATCCTAGTTGGGGCTGCTGTGTTCTAGATCATGTGACCAAGAAGGAGAGGGGTGGCATGTGGACAGTGACCTTATTTTTCTTATTCCTTGTAGCTCTGGATTCTAATATACCACACAGTGGGGGAATGATAAATGTTCCTGAAAGTAATAAGGAAGTGGCCTGCCTGGGCAGAACAGAAGGAGTATCTGAACAAAGAAACTTCACCTATAAAATGGCCCTAGCTGTTTGCCCTGTCTAAGGAAGACACCCTGTGACCAACACAGAAGGCTCCGACTCTATACCAGGCCTTTCTCGAGACAGGGATAGATGAATTTAAAAAAAAAAAAAAAAACACCTTTGTAATCTCTAAGGCAGGAAGATTCTCAGCAGCACAGAGGCCTGCCCACACAGGTGTGGTGACGTTTTCTGCTTGACCCCCTCTGACTCAGGCTGACCTTGACAGTAGCTGCTGACCTTGGTGATCAGGTGGCAGCCACCGCTTAGCTAGAGCTTCTGCGCTGTGTGCTGCCATCCTGGCACATGTTCTACAGACGCCTGTATATGGGGAAACCTGGTGAATGGGGGAACAGCGAGCAGGATTCTCCTCCCAAGTCAAAGCAGAATCCAACAGAGAGGCTTCTTGGGCCTATCTGCCCTGCATATTTTCACTGTCTTTCTAGGAGCCAGAGAACATGCTTTTAACTCCAGGGATTTAGGGTGCACCCAGACCAAGGACTAAAGGAGAAACACTACCCTGGGGCCCTTACTGAAAGGACTAACTCAAAATGGAATCTGGGTTTCAGGGTAAATCCTGAGGGGATTTGACTGACCTTGTCACATACAAAAGTTACATTTCTTGTTATATAAGTCTTGCTTTATCTTGGTCTTAACTATCCAGCAGAAAAGTATAAAAATGAGGTATAAAAAGTAAAGCCATATTAATATGCTCAGCTGTGAAAGGCTCAAGTCAAGAATTTCTGACATTGCCAGTCCTACAGAT